ATTCTAGTCAGAAGACGTGTGTTCCTGTTTTGTGTTTACTACTGATGGACTTTGTGTCCGTAGGCCTACGAGATCCTGCTCTTAGCCTCAGTTTTCTTTTCTAAAACACACGGATAGTAATTCCTGCTCTTCTGCTTCACGGAGCGCTTGTGGAAAAGAACACTACAAAATGGTTAACAGTTTTCAGGAAAACATTAAAACTCAGTTGACTGTGTTTCTGTGTTTTGTCTGGTCTTTTAGGTTGCTGACGGAGCTGGAGTCCCCTTCTTGGTGGCCCTTTAGCTCCAAGCTTTGGAAGATGCCAGCAGAAACAAAGCTGAAGGGGGGCACCTCAACGGCTAGTCCCAAAGCTCTTAGAAAAGAAGGGGTAGTGGTCCGAATTCCTGCTGTTATCTCCCAGGGGACAGCATCTCATGTTAAAGCAGGAAGTCTTACCATCCTTGTGTCTGGGTTGGAAATCCATGACTCGAGTTCTTTGCTCATGCACAGATTTGAAAGAGAAGATATAGACGACATTAAGGTTCACACACCTTATGAAATTAGCATCCGCCAACAGTTCATCGGGAAGCCAGACATAGCTTATCGCCTGATAACTGCCTAGATGCCCGAGGCTGTCCCCATTTTGGAGGTGCAGTTCAACAAGAAGATGGAGTTGTTAGAAGGAGGCTTGATGCCTGGAAGTGCCAGCACATCTTCCCCAGCAGAGAAGGGCTGCTATGTCTGGCAGGCGGGTGAGTGCGCGTCGGTCTGCAGGGGCGCGGCCTGTGGTACACCGTTAACGTGCTGCGTCACTGAGAGCATCTGCTGGTTCTGTGCACCAGTGCAGACTGTCCGTTTGTTTGTAAATGAGAACACTTCAGACCGTTTTCCTCAGTACCTGCCACCTCAGACTGTGTGAGTCCCGGAGTGCGGGTGTATCACACACTGGAGGGCTGTGTGGGTTTCCCCTGAGCTCAGCAAGGCTCGGTGGCCCTTTCAGAACAGGGGAAGGCTCCACGGTAGGCGATTCCCCTTTCCTCTGTGTGACTCAGTGCACCTAGCTGCCCACCCTGGTGGGTGTCCAGTCCCTCCACCCCTGACCTTGGCATCAGTCTGGGTCATCCCAGCCTGCCTTCCAGGGACATGTTTAGGAATCAGAATCTCTGAAAACTGCAGCATAGTTTTTGTGGGTTTGCAGGCCTCCGCTGTTGGTGAGGCGTGCTGTCCTCCCGAGTGTCTCTGGGGAGCACGGAGCTGGGCACGGCCCCAGGGGTCGCAAGGCTCCCAGGTCGCAGCCCCAGCCCCA